CAGTAAGTATTTTGAGTAAGCGGTCATAACGAACGTCGGCTCTAAGTCTCGTTAGAAAGTCAACGGATTAATTCAAGTTCCGTTGTAATATATAAAGTTCTGTGATATAAAAAAATAAGGAGAGAGAGAGAGACAGAGAGAGAGAGAGAGAGAAAATATTCACATACGAAGAAAAATAATGTAAATAATAATAATTTGATTTATGAGCAATAATGATAACGTGCTAATGATTGTAACGTTCAAGGAAAATTGTTTTTAACGTAAATTCTTACAAAATAAGTGTGGATGAAGAAAAAAATGCAAAATCATGAGGACGTTTACGAAACTCATTCCTCCATTACAAAAGTTAATAATACCGCAACGTAATATCTTCCTTTCCACCAAGAAAAATCTAACCGTGAACCTCTTGCTAAAATCCCGACGATTTCCAATTTACATCTATGAGTTTTCTATATCACGGTAGCGTGTGAAGCGTGAAACGGCAATGAATCAACGACTATCATTCTAACTAATCATTCCTGTCCACCATCGATCGACCGATTTAACCGGATTCGGTAATACGTTACATCACACGTGGCGTTGTTTGATGCATCTCACTTGCATTACATACGGATCTATGTATGTATAGAAACACGTTAAATAGACTCTAACGAATACGTACATATCTACATATCATATATATATATATATATATATATATATATATATATATGTATATATGTATATAGATTTTACGTTGCGACAGCTGGACACCTGCCTCGTACTCGAGAAGGCGTTTCAACCTACTCTAGCTTAGTCTCATCCTACAGTAATGTCTTTTTCTTTCTCCCACTCTCTTTCTTATTCCTTTCTTACTCCCTACGCTACCTTCTTCAACTTCACCTTATGTCACGCTATACTATACGCTATACTACGCGCGAGTGCATGAAAGTAAAGGACAACTTTCTCCCGACTCGATAGATTCGTTTTACTCCTACCTTACCTCGTCCTACGATCGATCGACTCAAGAAAGAAAACCATTCGTATCCGCTTATAACTTTAGAAAGACTTTTCGATTCTCTTCCGAAAGAAAAGCTTTGCTCGACACGTTCTTACGATAAATCTGTCTCTCAAAACTTATACATTTCCTCCCCCCCCTGACCCTCTCTTTTATAATCGAATTAAACTCGAGATAAGCCGATCTTTCGTTGCAATCTTAAACTTGTCAATTAACTGATCAACTTTTATTTTCAACGAGGTTCATTCGATCGACACACGATTGTATCTATGTATGTATAACGAGAGAAATATTAGCTTGTAATATTGATAAGATGAAAAGCGATTGATACGCCTGGACAGAGCTATTAAGTTTTCGTTAAACGAACTAACAAGTTCGCATACATTTTCTGCATAAATAATGATGCATATTACGTTCAAGGACACATTCATCTATGTAATTACATTATAATCATACACTTCGAGATAACTGCTAATAAACATCTTTACATTCTATATATATATATATATATATATATATATATATATATATATATATATTTATTATACGCAGATAGTCTAGCTATCGATCAATATACTATACGAATATATTGATCAAATATAACGCAAAAGAGCACAAAAATAACATAAAAATATCCTTCCTTCAATCTATAAATAAACGAATGAAAACGGTCTAACAAATAAATCAATTGTTTCTAGCTATGTGAATGAACGTAACGATGAAGAGACGAATGTAAACGATTGTATTCATATTAAAATCAAACGATTTACATACGAATCGATAATTATGAAACTAGTCAAAAAATAAATCATTGAATATATTAAAAAAAAAACATGTTTCGTCACATATCCTCTATTTTTAATATATTTAAATCCTACAAATGAATATTTTATATTTTTCAAATGAAAACTACCTTATTCTATATTTTTGATGACAACGTAAATTTTTTATAATAATAATTTTTAAATAATTCTATGACCAAATATCAAAATATACCTGCATAATATCTCACCGTTGTAACAATGAAAAACATGTGACTTGAAGTTAGAACATTTTCATAATCACATTGTGCATACAACATAATATGTCGTACGTGTTATGAATCAAATCCGTAATTCGTCCGGTCGATCGATCATCAACGAACGATGGTATCCCTCTTCTCCCTCCATCTCCTCCTTCTTCCTGGTCGAGCAGCGAGTTCGCGGAAACTGGTTTAACACGATGCTGCGATCTCGCGAGAGGAGATGCTAGGAATCCGAAACTCGTGGCTTCCTCGAGAGAGTCAACGTACCTGGTCCCCTTCGCTCCGGGCTGCAGCCTTTTAACGACGACCGACGGCGACGTTCCACCTCGATCTCCCCCATCTCCCCCTCCTCCTCATCTTTCTCCTCCTCCTTCACCTCCAATTCCCTCCTCTTCTTTCTTCGTCTTCTTACGTCGCGATCGGGCGTTTTTTTTCAAGCCTCGCACACGAAACAGGTATTTTCAGCGTACCCAAAAAGAGAGAGAGAAAAAGAGAGAAAGAGAGAGAGTGAGAGAGAGAGTGAGAGAGAGAGTGAGAGAGAGAGAGAGAGAGAGAGAGAGAGAGAGAGAGAGAGAGAGCGTCAAACGTATTTGTAAATGGCGGCGAGAATGGAAGCGAGACTATAAAAGTAACGAGATTGTACTATCAACGAGAGTAAAGAACACCAAGAGCGAAAGGAACACGTTTCTCTTCTTTCAAACGTATCTTTCTCGGTCTGTTGAAAAATGATATCACTTTGAGATTCTTATATATACAGGGTGGGAACAAATGTTTCCAAATGATTATTCGATTAAATTAATTAAGATCAATTATTCTTTTTGTTTTTTTTTCTAATTTTTAGATTAATTTTTCTTTGTTTCTTTTTTCTATTCTTTTTTCTTTTTGTTATTTCAGATTGTAAAAAATTTTCTAGGCCAATTAGTTTTACGATCTGAACTGAAAGAAAAAAATTATCTAAGAAGATTACTAAGTCTGTAGTATTACAGTTTGGAAAAAAGAATATTAGCCTGAAAAGTCTTGAAAAAGGTGTAATTGATTTTTTAATATCACCTAGGAACTTTTGATCGATCATCCTCTATATCACTCTTATTTTAATATTTGAGAAATTAATATCAAATATATCTCTCTGATAGACGGATTACGATTACACTGTAGTATTTTTCAAGAGTATTATCTAAAAATTAATAATTTCTGTAGCTATATAACGAAAAATATTTTTCTTTAAACGAAATCGTATAATTGAACAAAAACTTTGTGATATTGTTTTCGATGTGAAAATAAAATGATATAAAATTTATGTAAAATTTCAAAAATGTCAGCCGTCAATCTCTTTTAAGGATAACTGTTTAACTTCCCAATGAGAAGGTACAGTGCGATTACGATACTTGTTTGGTATATCTGCAAATCCATATTGGGATACGATCGCCAAAGTCGATCTCGTTCTTTCACCGTTACGCTTCGCATACGGGGATGAAATATCGATTAACAACTAACTACGAAAGAATGCAACGCAAGTTGTAAGTACATAACTGACTCTCTTTGAAAGGTTCCTGTTAATTTTCTGAAAACGTTCAAGATTTTTCTACGCTCGCGTAATACGTTCTTTCATTATTACTTGTAACTTTGTATAATACTAATATTCCAAGAATAAATAAATGATCGTTTGTAAATTCAAAAATTACATACATAGAAGTACGCCTTGTGAGATCCAAAAATGGTACTACTACGTATTCAAATCATCGTATACGATACATACATACTTAATCAAAGAGATATAAAAATACATTAGCGAAAATTATACTAGTAATATGTAAGAATAATTTAAATGATGACATATAATGGAAATGATTACAAGGTAAATTCGAATCGTATATATTTTTTTAGGTTAATCTATGTTACGATCGTGTGAGACTTAATGTACTTTTGATATGAATATATGTTGGGAATTTACGGATTTCTATCTAAACTGTATATATGTATATATATATATATATATACACGAGAATATAACTTGAAATTCTAATGTAAGCAAATTTGATATTTTTACGCCAAAAATTCCTTGACTATTTTGACATAAATCATCAACGTATATTGTACATACATATATACGTACACGATGATGTACTTTATGATATTCCATTCATAAAGTTCTTCTCTTGAATATGTCTTTCAAAAACGATTTATTACTTATGCGCTATGTTTCATTAAGATAATTATTACAAATATAATATTAAAAGAAAATCAATCAAAATTACTTCCAAATTTCGAATAAAACTTTCGTTGATATCGTTCTTCCGTTTCAACGATTTTTCCATCTTTGAATTATCTACAATCGTTTTTATCATGATCATTTTCATTTATATTGTAAAAATTCTTGTAAACATTATATATATATATTTTTTTTTCACAAATAAATTACCAATCATTAACACCATTATTTATTAACATAAAGATTCACGCTATGATTAGGTAAGAACTAGCGAAATCGAACGTTTATCTTATCGACAAGCTAAATAAAGATGATCGTTTATAAAAAGGTAGCCGTATGAGAGGCCATACGCACGAGAACCGTTACCATCAACCAGACGGCCGGCGATTTCCAAACGTTTGGTACTTTATTTTCATTGAACGTCTTACACTCGATCTTTTCTCACAAGATCAAAATCATTTTAACATTAGCCTCACGAAAAATTATAATAATCAATGACAACGATTTATCGACTTTACCAAAGTAAATTTATTACTTTGAAATTTCTATAACCTTCAACCATGAATCTCCGACATTGTGTTCTCCAGATTTTGCTAAAATTTCGATGTTATTTTCGAGGTATATTTTCTATATTTTCAAAAATAAAAAACTTATAAGAGACAGTTTTGTCACTTCGTGACGTAGGATAACGCAGTTTCCGTACACCTGCGCAGGCGTAATCCTTGAATTTTCAAAGTGCACGGGATAAGAATTATAATCGGCTTACTCACCGTTTAAACGAACATCATTCCTCTATCGGGTGATAATATCCACGTGCTGAAACACTGAACACAGTTATATACACTAGAAACCGCGTGCACCAACAAGGAGAGAGAGAAAGAAAGAAAGAAAGAAAGAAAGAAAGAAAAAGAGAGAAAGAGAAAGAGAGAGAAAGAGAGAGAGAAACACACGCGCACTTCACAACGAATTCGAGCGAGCACCGCGGGAAGAAGCGATTTTTCGTTCAAATTCGTAAAACGACATTGTCGTAATCTAACGAACACTATGGAAAAGCCGTAGAGTAGGAGGATAGACGATATAAAAAAAATGCTCGTACGGAAGTGAAAAAGCGCGGCTCGACGAAAGAAACACTCATCTACGATCGCTTCGTATGGCCGGCTGTGGCTCGACTCGTTTTGCCTTCGGTGCGACGCCTCGATTCTTGCCGTGCGTCCCCACTCCCCTCTAATACCTGGTCCCACTCTCTAACCCCCACCTTTCTCCCTCTCAAAGTACTACTAACTTCTACTTCCAGTTTACGCTTCCGATTCGTTCGGCAATTTTCGGATCTCTTCGGATCGAGCTCGGTATCGCGTCGAGACGAACCGCACGTCTATCTTCTGATTCGTCTCTTTCTAAGAAGAGTCATACGGAGAGCATTCTTTCTTCTGTTTTCCTTTTTTCTTTTTTTTTTTTTTTCCTTTGGAACGGTAAGAAAAATATTTCCAGGATGTCTCAAACTTCTTAACGTAATTATGAAAAATAAAACAATTACTATTTAGAACAAGAAAGTAAATCCTCTCGAGAGTATGATTAAATTCATCGGATCTTTCTTTTTCATTGGTCATTTTTGAAAATGATCTCTCATGTTGTCACGTGATCACGATTTTTATTACATACAATTTTTTAATGCATCGAAAGGTGGCGTCAATTTTAAATTAAATTTACTAATAAGTGAAATAAAGTTTGAGGGTATCGAAATAAGATAGAAGCATAGAGAAAATGTAAATATTTATTTGATTTCCTATCAAGTATTTTTTTTATTTTTGCTATCGCCATTTTCAACGTTCGCTTCTTTTCTTAGTTCATATATCTAAAAAAAAAAAAAAAAAGAAAAAAAAAAATTAAATACAGTTAATTATTTCTATTAATTGAAAAAATACCTGAACAATTTATGATCATACATACTTGTATATAAGCTTCAGTCAACGTTATCATTTGTGGTAATATTTGTGTTACATGTAAATCTTGTAATTCATACCATTGACCAGTAGCTCTATGCAAAATATGAACTCTATATGTTCCTTGTCCTGGTTCACCATCATGCACTATATTGGCGACAAGATCATATGTTGTATAAGGATGTCTAGCCTTAACTTCTGGAGTTAAAATATCACCAAAATCGACATTTCTACAAAAAAAATATTTATGGTTTAAAATATTATTATAAAAACATTTATATAAATTTAAAAGAAAAATTGAGCAAACGACTTACTTAACTGGAAAATTTACTATAGTTGGATTTTTTTCAACAAAAAATGTATTCTTAGTAAATCTCTGTAAATAATACATATAAATTCATCGAATTCTATTCAACTTCTCCTATACTTTTTTAAATAATTGTCATTATTTAATAAATACTCACTTTTATATAAAGAATAAGATAAGGTGGAAGTTCTGTAATTTCAAATCTTTTCATAAAGTTTTCTTTATACGTTTTATATTCTTTTTCTGCCACAGCATTGAATTTATTTAATAGAGTATACAAATTTACCTAAATAAAAAATAAAATGAACAAATTAAGTATATTAAATAAACAAATATAAATATAAATATAAAATATAAATAATATTAGATTAATACATACTTGTGGAATAATATTTTCAGTAAATTGATCTTTAAAAAGAGGTGGTGGTGGTAAATCACACGTTAAATAGAGAAATGGACTTTGTGTAACAGTTTCCCCATATTCAACTGTATGTAATAATTCACTTCTTTGGCTTTCTTCTAATTCAAGCGGAGGAATTTTTCGGGTATATATCCTCATGTGTCCCAAAAATGTTTTATAAACAATACTGGAATCACGCTTTTTTGTACCATTTAATGCCAAATGCAAAGCGTTCAAAAACCAGGATAGGAAGTCCACCGGATCTCCTAAATATTTTATTCGTTTTAGAAGAGTGATACTTATATAATATTTCCAAAAATTTTTTACTCATTGTTTAGTCCTTTACTATTACACCTTGCTCAGTAAATTGAAATCTCTTTTTACTCCATAATACCACAGCCTGTAACATTTCATGAGGGCTCACATGTGCTTTAAAATTGCGTGGATTCCATAATTTCCTCATCAATTCACCGAACCTTTGAACCAACAGATAAGATGAATCTCCTGGTGGCCTTTTCACATACGCATAATTAGTCTCTCGTAAAAAAAAATCCCTCAGTGGAGTAACATGAGATAGCGCCTACAAACATTTATATTAGTGAATGACAATTGCTCTAATTATACATCATAAATATAAAATAAATTTTTGAAATTACTCACTTGTAAAATAACATTGCAATAATCATTTGCTTTTATATTATTCATGCCTACTATACCCGGAGAATACATTGAACCGTCAATAGCTCTAGACAACTTATCGCTTTTGTCTAATACAGCAATCTGTGCTTTATCAAATGTTGGATTTAATACATATTTGATATCATCCAAAGATGAATCTAAAAAAACAATGGCATACTTTTGTTAGAAATTAATAGATCAAACCAAATATATCATTGCCGATTGGTACTAACCGACTATTTCATAATTATCCGGTAAGCAATAAAATTTTAATGTATGTAAATTTAAAAATACATGATGACTTTCTGCTACACTGTGAGTATAAGCATGTGTATTGGTTCCTCTGCCTTGGAAATATTTTCCACAAACCAAGCAGGCATATACATTGATTCGGGACAATGAAACAGAACATAATTTTTCAAAATCAAAGTCTAAAAATTGACGATTAATTGTATCTAAGTAAGGACATAGCCGTGGTGCTTCCATTCGAGTCACTTTAGCGTTTTCTGAAATAAATATAATATAGTTTCTAGGAAATAACATAGTTTCATAACCTCACCAAATATAAACAAATAACTTTGCCATTGGTATTCCCGACATCTCGTATTTAATAATCCTTAGTAAAATTAAGGAATATAATGTTTGCTAAACTCACTTTCTTTTTCATTATCAAATTGCGTATCATTATTATCTAATTTACGTTTCTTTTGGTTGCTCTGTTGGTTAGACGCCATTTTTACTGTGCGTCGAACAACGCGACAAACTATTAACCTTAAATATGAGTAAAACTAAAGTAGGTTTCATTCTCAAAAATCTATTCACATTCATTCAAAAACTAAATACGCATTTGAAAAAATAATTGTAAATGTAATATCATGAAATACGATTTGTTTATTTAATTTATGTTTATATTTTTATAAAATTTTCAATTATTTCCGGCGAATGTGGCGCCTTGTATATATCGAGATTAATTGTATTAATCGCGATCGTATTTATATACAAAGTATATGCAGTATTTTCATTTTTTTATATAATCGACAATACAAAGTTTTCAATTAAATTTAATTAATATATTATATAAATCTAGTTATATCATAGAATATATTTAAATTGCATAAAATATAAATGAACAACAAACAGAAGAAATATTTTCTTATCGAGTGATCAACAAATTCTAGCACAATATAATATATTAAAATAAAATTTGATTTAAAGTTTGGACTCGATTATGAAAACAATGAAAGATAGAAAATAGAACGAACAGATGTTAGAAGTTTAATATAAAGTACATATGTCGAGTGTATGTGTTTGAAGACCGATGAGAATGGCGCCATCTAGAGGAAAAGATGAATTCTTTTTGACCGAAGAGTGGACAGCGGAGCTAATACCCCGCTCTCTCGTGCTTCTCGTAGCGGATTACGAGAGATCGTCCGAATGCTGTGGAGACAGAAGTATCATTTTACAAACGTATCCTGAAGCATAAAATGCTTCGTCAGAAGAATAATTTTTAAAGAATTTTTCATAAAAAGGATTTCGAGAGGAAACGAAATCGTTCGATCGTGATGCGCGTCGCGGTCTCGCCGAGTCCTCGGAAAAAGTTGCCTCGTATCGAGAGCTTTTCGAAGGAGATACCTTGATCAAAAGCTTACACTTCGATCTGCTACTTTTCATCAAGAAACGAATTGATTTTCGTCGAAAATATTCTTCATTGATAATGGCCATCGTCGAAGAATTTGATTATCTTTGCCGTTTATGCGCGACCAAGACAGGCATTCTCATGGGATTACCGATCTTTGAGGCTGGCGATCAGATGCGTAACATCGACAAAAAAATCGCAGCGTGCCTTCCCGTCCAAGTAAGAAGGTCTTCCGACATAATCAGCAATTAATTTTTTTTTTCTTTTTTCTATCTTAATTCTAGAGAGACTGAACGTCGCAATATACAATTATATATAATAAATTAAACCATGCGATTACGTTATTTTTTTCAATTTATTTTCTATTAAAAAGAGAACACCAATAATGATATATTAATATATTTTTTATTCGATTAAAAAAAGAAATAATCCTATCTTCATTAATAGGCTTCGCTGAATTTTCATTTTGATTAACTTCATTTTAATGTTATGCTTTATTTCGTTTTCCTTTTTGATATTTCTTGCAGGTGTCAATGACAGATCAGCTTCCTAAAGTGGTATGCGAAGAATGTGCATACAAATTAGATCAATTATTTGATTTTCGTGAAAAATGTTTACATACCGAGGGTATGTTTATGGAAATGTTAAAGGAAATTAGCAAGGATGAAACGGTACATATATCAGAGCATGGTTTAGAAGAGGTAGATGAAATCAGTATGAATAGGATCCAAAGGAATATAGATAGAATACAAAATGATATTGAAGATGTCCAAAATCGTACTAGTGTAGTTTCTCATGAATCAGGAGAAACAACTATACATACTATGCAAGTTATGGATGAAATGGATTTAGCTGGTGATGAACAAGTTGTTAGTCAAGAAGACATTGGTCAACAAGATCATGATATGGAGGTTACAGACATTGACTGTTTAGATGGTGAAACAGTCAGAATGGTTGACGAACATATAAGAGAAGTAATTCTTATTTTATTATCATTACAATAGAAAATAAAAAAAAATAAAAATAAATAATACTTTATGCACATTTATTATTGTATATTTATTGTCATATATATACAATATTTATGATCATTTTCAGGTTTCAAATCATCAGATAGCAATGCACTTGGAAGGAGATATGACTGTGGTAGGGAATTTAACTGTAAGCGGGCATTTGAGTCAATTGGGAATAAATTATGTGACTTCTATAAATCCAGAAA